ACTCATGGCTGGCATTCTACTCTCTGAGCATGCCTATAGTTTAGCATTATGGCTGGTTAATTAGAGATAAGAGTCTCATTGATTTTTCAGCCTTGGGATGTCTTTGAACCACAATCCTCAGATCTCAGCCTACTGAGTAGCTAGGATTACAGGTGTGAGCCATTGGTACCCAGCTTGAATACTGTTCTTATGAGACAGATTCATGATCTGTACTCTGGTGAAAGGCAAATCAAAGTGGGCAGTGGCAAGGTTTTATCAGCTTTTCTTTCTGAGAAGACTTAGTGTGATATTTTTACATATTTTAAGAGTGATCTGCAACTTAATGAAAATGTATACCAATATATCTTCAGATGGTTCAGCAAAATTCAGATAAAAGATAGGAGATGGTAGCTTACTCCTATAATCCTACTTACTCAGGAGGCTGAGATCTGCAGGAATCACAATTTGAAGTGACCTCTGGCAGAAAATTACGTGAGACTCCATCTACAATCAGCCAGAAAAAACCCGGGCTAAAGGTGTGCCTCAAGTGGTAGAGCACTAGTTAGGAAAGAAAAAGGCTGAGCTCTAGGGCATGAGGCTTTGAGTTCAAGCTTTGGTACTAGCACATAATTTAATAATTAAAAAAACAGATCAGATCAGAGAGAAGGCAGTGGTAGCAAAACATTAACAACTAGGGAATCTTGGTAAAGGATATGGATGATCATCATATTAGTCTACCATACTGTGATGTGAAATTCTTCAAATAAAAAATTGTACCTTTGAAGCTAGACAGCCTGAACATTAGTACTGCCTGATTTTGCCAACTGGGTAAATTTTTGAACTTTCTCTACCATAGCTTCTTAACTTGTAAATGAGACATAATACTGTCATAACCATGATGTCTATTCCCACAGATTATTCAAGTATATAATAATTCAGAATGTGTAACTATTTAAAACAGTGCAAAGTTAAGCAATCAATAGATATTGCCTATCACGCACAGCGCTGTCAGCCAACTCTCATCATGTTCTTCTTTACTTTTCTTGATTATATTTATCAGTATCTAACTTTGTAGTATCTATGCATTAGCTTATTTTCTATCTTTTCCCAGTGAATTCCAGTTGGCTATGTGCATATATGTATGTGTGTGTGCATGTGTTGTATTCGTCAACACTATAGTCACCTCAGAAACTTCAGCACTTGCATACCAAATGATCAATAAATACCTGCTGAATGCATGAAGCCATGAGTGCATCTCATTTCATAACATGATGACATGTCTGTTTCTATGAATTAGAAAATGAATCCACACTCACATATATTTTATATAAATCATCGCCTTATTAAATGTCATCCTCAAAGAAATATATTCCTTATTAAAAATCAGCTGGCCCAAGGAAATCATAATATCCATGTGTTATAACATGTACAAAGCATTAAAAAAAGAATTATAATTTTAGGAAAACTGGCTCAATAATAGCATAGTCATAATATAGTATTTTAAACTATATGACTCACTATGGAAGTACTTCAGATTGCTTTGGAGTTTGTAAACAATAAACTGCAACCAGATACTCTGAAAGGCATCCTGGTCTCTCATGGTAAGTACCTTCCAAGTCACGCACCATGTATCCTGCAGATACCAGGTGCCAGGGACTCTCACAGGAGAGAAATCTGTTCTGTTCTCACTTATTCTGGAACTTCCTAACTTTACAGAAAGAGGGACCGATGGGAACTGGAAAGAGAAGAGAGACTGAAATGTGATCAGAAGGTGGAAATGAGTTTTAATTTGAATAAAGCCATGCTGCGGTTCTTGCTGCGTACACTACCAATGCTCAGATTTCTGTATCTTGGTCTCTTGTATAACGAGACCTACTTATGTCTAATAAAGATAGTATCAGTGATGTGCATAATGAGATTTCTTCACCTTTCGACATGACATACCTCACTCTTAGTTGTACATCCCAGTATTCAAGTTGTTTTATAACAGACATAACATAGTGACTTATATTCAGTTTTATCAATTGAGATCTTTTGACCCTTTTCCCATCTATTGCTTCTATATCTTTAGTTACTAGTTCTGTTTTATTTATAGACAATCATTGCTTCTTGAGACATCCCTGGTGTCCTGGGTTCTAGTAAGGGTTATTCTTTTCACAGCTAGCAATTTTTCAGTCTTTGAAGTAACTTTCTGAATCTTTTAAAGAAATAACCAAGATAAATGGATAACAACCACAGCACTGTCTCCCTTCTGAATATCAAACCTACTTTTTCTTCCATCTCAGGTACTGCCCCTTCAAGGAAGAAGGGTGAACAAGAAATACTACTTCTGAAAATACCATTTTTACTCAAAACTACTAGAGGTAAAAGTAATAGTGTTCTCTTAAGGAATTGCAGTCAGCCCTGTCTGTGGGTTTGGGTTCCCATTTCCAGCTATCAAACTAGTCAGTTCTAAAGGGACTCAGGGCCATACACATGATGAGCATATTATATGACTGAGCTACAGGTACCCAGTCCATTTTAACAAAAATTGCCAAAGACACCAGGTCTCCAACTATCCTGCCAGTGGCAGGATCCTGATTTGAAGCCAGCCTGAGCAGGAAAGTCCATGAAACTCTTATCGCCAATTAAGTACCCCAAAAGCTAGAAGAGAAGTTGTGGTTCAAGTGGTAGAGCACTAGCCTTGGTCAAAGAAGCTCAGGGCCAGTGTCCAGAGCCTGAGTTCAAGCTCTAGGAATGGCACAAAAAAAGTGCATATGTGTGTACACATATAAATAACATATACAATATATATTCTATGTATATAGTCTCATGAGGAATTCCTAGAGAATGATGCCATCCTTTCCCATTTCTGAGAGCTGAGAGATGCTACTTGAGTGATAACGCCAAGTCCAGAAGCACTGTGCATGCACCACATTTCAAGGCAGGTTTCACAGCCCCTCACAGGAAGCTCCAAATGAGGCTCACACAGGGGCACACCAAGTTATCTTCCATTTCAACCGCCCAACTCTCAGGATTGTGAGAAGCTACCCAAGTGTAATTCTGGCTATTCACAGTTTGAATAAGTTGCAGCCAAGTCCTCAGATGGCTTTTAATGGAACAATTAAAGTTTCTTCATGGAGCAAGGACCAATGTGTTTCTGAAGTCATTTTACTATCTGAGCATCTAGAAGAGAAATCTAAGCACTGAAGCCAATTGAAAAATAATGGACTAGTAATTCCTGTTCTTTCAGGGTGTGTCACAGATTGCCATTCAATTTGTCCTGGGAGATCAAGAATAGGGGGATTATCATATCTTTCTCACCATCTTGGAAGGGTAAGAATCCTTCCTCCCTCTTCCCTCCTAGAATTTCAGTACAGAAAAAAAAAATAATTTCACAAACTGAAGTGATATCAAAGGCCAACAGCTTTTCAAGTAGGAGATGGAGAGGGAACTGGTCCAATGTAGGAAAAGAAAATATCTCCAGTTTTCTGGAGAGCAGCGTGCATGTGTAAAAGCTCAGTGTAGACATACCTTCAGAAACAATCACTGGAGGAGAGCTGTCAGGCCTCCACGTCAGAGCTGACACCAAAAGGGTGACACTGACAAATACCCTGATTCCAGACAGCAATAACAATGGGGAGAGTTGACCACTGAGATTGGTGGTTTTAAAGAAATAAGGTGTACTTTTCTCAAATGAAGTGATTGATCATTCACTACCTACTTATTACACGCTTACTCTCTAAATGGAAAAGACTGAGCTGTTAGGTCCTACACAGGATTCGAAGCCTAAAATACACTTTCTGTCTAAGTGGCTTAGAATTAATTTGCATAACTAGGGTGAAATTACAAAATAACTAGTGTTGAAACAATAAATCTACAGTGTGATAACAGTCAAAATCATTTTTCAGCTAGGCACCAGTGGCTCATGCCTGTAATCCTAGCTACTAGGAGGATGAGATCTGAGGATCATGGTTTGAAGACAGCCCAAGCAGGAAAGTCCATGAGATTCTTATCTTAATTAATCAGCAAAAAGCTAGAAGTGGAGCAGTGGCTCAAGTCAGAGAGTCCTAGCCTTGAGTAGAAAAAGCCAAAAGAGAGCAAGAGGCTCTCAGATCATTCCAGCACCCAAAAATTAACAATTAAAAAAAAACAACAACCATGTAAGGAAAAGGAAATTTAAACAGTGGACCACAGAAATCCACTACACAAATAATAGCAAAATTTCCAGGAATAAATATATTAGTAATATAAAAATGTAGCAAAGCTGGGGGTTTGTGTTCCCTGAACTCACTCTGCAGTCTTAAAATGACATGTTTGTCCATAAATAATGATCGATCACATTCTAACTGCATAACAGAACCTTTTGAACACTTTCTTTTAAAACGTCAAACCCTTTCATAAGCATCACCTCCCTTATTGATCTTTTGGTTAATAACGAAAAACTACTAATGTCTCCATTTCCTAGATTTTCTTTAAAAACAGCAGTAAAATAAATGTTCTAGGGCACTTTGTGGCAAAGAGAATTTGAACCTATACATACAGATTCTAACTTAGTGCCCTTTAGGAACAAGTAAAATAATGTCAGCTAACATGAGACAATTTACTTTTCATTTCCACCATTATTAATACATTTTAAGTGCATCTATATCTTCTAGGTTCCCCAGAAAGAACACAGTTTAAGAACAGTAAGTGCTCCTCGGTTACCTGAACTGCTACAAACCTAAGCATACACACAGCTAGCAGATTAAAAATAACCATATTCTAGCTGGGCACTGATGGCTCACACCTGTAATCCTACCTACTCAGACTGAGTAGCTGAGATCTGAGGCTGAGATCTGAGAATCACAGTTCAAAGCCAGCCAGGACAGGAAAGTCTCTAAGGCTCTTATCTCCAACTAACTACCAGAAAACTGGAGGTAGAGCTGTGGCTTCAAGTGGTAGAATATTAGCCTTAAGCAAAAGACCCCCAGGGATGGCACCCAAGCCCAGAATTCAAGCCCCTTGACTGACAAAAATAAAAATCACATTTTATACATTACCTCATTTAAGGCATTCCACAGTTCTTCATCTGTGTGTTCATTAAAGGGATCCAGGTTTCTCCTCATAGTTCCAGTGAACAATACAGGTTCCTGAACGTCCAAAGAATGAATGTCATTACTAGGGTCTCTTTATATTTTATTCTGATGTTAGTCTTCATAACAGAATTAAAATACAAACCAAAATTCACCATCAACATTAATTCTAAAGTTATTAATGTCTATTTAAAAATGGTATCTTCATTAATTTCCCCATTCAACAAACTTGTGCTCCAAAATAACTTCCAGACTTCTGAACACTAGCGAAAGAAATTGTTATGACATGTTATTGTGAGAAGAAATTGAAGAAAAAGGTTGTGTTCAAAACATGCTTTCTTAGTCACATCGACTGCATACAAAATTCAAGAATATATGTCTTTGAGAAACTGAACAGCCAGAGAAACTAATTACTAAAACCTAATAAAAAGAAATAAATTACTGAACCTAATATAATAGTAGAAATCACTGACTACATTACCAGTTAATATTTTTGCTTCAAAGGAACATTGCTAAGTGGTTTTCCATTGGTAAAGACAAAAACGGTCCAGCGGATTGAGACTGTCCCTGTATTCCTGCATTTTGGCTCTGTTCTTTGTCTAAAGGGAAGTGACCCATGAGGCCCATGGGACCCCTACTCTTGAGAGAGGGCTGTGATACTGCTTCAGCTGTGCTCACCTTGTCTGCATATCGGGCTCCTCTCTCGCAAAATCTCCTTATAAACTACAAGAGCAGGGGAGCCTGAAACCTATCAGGAGGCAAGTATTATTATTAAAGTAATAAAACTATTTTAAATAGCTCTTCCTAATTCACCAGCCTCAGGAGGAAGCCACAATTAAATTGCTCTTGAAATACACGCTTCCTCCTGGGTTTCTTGAGAGCATCTTGTATGTGAACGTGGGCAAGCTGTGCACAGGTTTTCTTCTGGAAGGCGTTAGCAACCCTGGCCCGGGTGAGGACCAGGAGATGGGAACCAGAGCAGCCTGGCTGATCAGGACGTAGTCTCCCATCTCACTGACCGGGGGGCTGGCCACTAAGGATGCCTGAGAAGAAAGATTGAGGAGAAAACCTTTTCTCTAGCCATAAGGACACTGGTTCTGTCTTTCACTGTCTCAATTTTAGGACTAAGGAAGAAGAAATGGTATGCCACCCAAAACAGGTATCTCTCAGCAACATAAAAAGAAAAAAAAAAGACATTGAAATGGCCTTTCATTTGCACAAAAGTGAGTAAGTGACCAATATACCTGAGAAGCTCTGGGGCGGGGGGGGGGGGTGAATCACTGATCCTATGATATTTCAAAATGAACACTAAACGGAACCAAAAAGTCCCGACTGCCTTTATTCATGGTTTCACATAAGACTACTGAATTTAAGGCAGAGGTCTAAGCAACTTCTATGCAACAGTGGGATACAGTGACAGTCACTACTCTACTAGAAGACTTCATATTAAAATTAAACAATTCTGTCATAATAAATTCCAAGATTCCAATGAGCCAGGTAATTTCTTCTCCTCTCCTTGCTTATATGAGGTTTACAGAAGAGATGTGGCCATATATGGGGCAGCTGTTACTCATTATCCCTCTCTGTCGATGGTTCTTTTACCCCTAGAATATCTGAATGCTGTGGGCTCCGAGGAGATACAGACGTGGGAGAGGACAGAACAGTTCTTTTCCATGTGGAGAAGTTTGCTAATATGAGCAACAGATCTGTTTCCTTGTCCACGATGACTTACATTACCTGAACTTATTTTCCCACCAGGTTCTCATAAAGCAAAAATCACACCCAGTAACAGGTGAAGGGTGTGATAATACTTTTTCCAAGTCCACCTTGAGCCACGATCCCTAAGCTAAGCCATGAAAAACATGCTTTGCTTTGCCCAGTTTGACCTTCCTTCCTGGTTAAGGGATGAGAAAGCTCCTAACTTAAGCACACTACAAGAATGCACAGTTTAAATCTAGCCCTCTACTTTGTGATCAGAGTCTTATGCCTATAACTCTCCCTTACCTTCTTCCCTTTAGGAAACTCCTTTTTTTGGGGGGAGGGGTCTAGTCGTGGGGCCTGAACTCTGGGCCTGGGCGCTGTCCCTCAGCTCTTCAGCTCAAGGCTAGCGCTCTACCACTTGAGCCAC